TTCATCTCCCAAAATCTTACAGGCAGATGAGTCAGGCAGGCAGGCAGGCAGGCAGCACGCACACATGCACTCACGCATGTATGCATGCACGCACACACACACACATGCACACCGGTGAAAGCAGGTGGCGCTGTCCCTGCTCACCTAGTTCTCTGGGGGGTGTTTCCTGATACCCTGTCCCCAGTGGGCTTGTTTCCCACTGTCGCATGTTCCCACTACTGCTCTGCTCCCAGGGAAAGGAGGACGCAGCTTGCCCTGCCCCTGCCAGCTTTCACAGAAGAAAGGCAGGCTGCATTTGCTAACCTTCCACAGCAGGGTGAAAGTCTGTGTACTGTTCCCCATAGATAGAATGCTACTTTTTTTTGGTGGGGGCTTTCAAGACAGGCTTTTTCTGTGTAACAGCCCTAGCTGTCCTGTAACTCACTCTGTAGACCAGACTGGCCTTGAACTCGTAGAGATCCACCTGCCTCTGCCTCCTGAGTGCTGGGATTAAAGGCGTGTACCCTCTACTGCCTGGCCTCTATTGCTTTTCAAGATAGAAAAATAAAACACAGGGTAGGATTCCTCCCCTCGGAGTTGTGGGGTGGCTTTGAGCAGTCAGGAGGAACCTCAGAAACCAGGCTGCACCCTCATGCCCATCCACCCTTGTTCCCTCCATGTTCCGTCATCAGCGTGCCCCACGGTGAGCACTAGTTGCCTGCTGCACGGGGACCAGGCCCTTCTGTGAGCCAGAGCTGGGTCTGTTCATCCCCATCTCTAGGCCTTGTGGTACTCGTCCTGACTCCACAGGATTTCTGCATCTCCACAATTGCACTGTCACAGGGCTCGTCTCGATGGCTTCTGGCAGCCTTGATGTGGCTTCCTTGGGGTCCATGAACACCATCCCACATTAGTAGTTATTGCTGGGGCCTGCAGTGCACAGGGTCTGCAGTGCGCCCCCCAAAGGGCTCTGCTCTCTGCACTCTGCACTCCTCTCGGGCCACGCCCTCTATAGTCAGCATAGCCTCTAACCTGCAACGGCTCTGCAAGCCACCTCTCACACACTGAGTCCCAGATACTCTGACCTTCTGCCCGCTCTCTGTGTCCCACGAGTTCCTTCTGGACTTCCTCTCACACTCACATTCACACATAGGCATGCTCCTCTAGAGGCTGCTCACCCTCCAGCCCTCGGCCCCTCCCACCAGGGCAAGCCTGCCCCGCCCTACTCCAGTGTGGGTCCCTGGCCCATGCTCATCTTTGCTCTTCAGCCCTTCCTTCTGGTGGCAGGTACGTATTTCTGAGAGTGACTTTTAAACATGCTGCCTGCACTGGGCTATAAGCTTCGAGGGTGGGGACCAGTTTTCTTTTCGAGCAAAAGTGTCCGGTAAGCCCTCAGAATGTATTTTTAAATGGATGAATAGGTAAATCAGTCAGTCAGTCATGGGAAGGCATTAGCTTAGGGGGCTTTTAACTTGTCTCTACTTTAACTCATTGAGGCTCTAAGGAAAAATCTTTACCCTTGACTGTATGTTACAAATATTTACCAGTCTACAGTTGCCCAATAGTTGTATGTTAATGGTTGTTTTTTTCAGTTTGACGTTTCAAATTTTATTTGACGTCACCAAACCTTCGATTATTTTCCTTTGAAGCTTCTGCCTTTGTTTGGAATAGTTCGGAGTAAACTTGTGGCTCCTTTCTTCAGAAGAAACAGACCAGTAGGGCTGCCATAGCTGTGGCTGACTTCCCAGGAGCCCGGAGAGTGGAGGAGAGCCAGGCCACTGCGGGGTAGCAAGGGAGAGCTGGTGGGTGGGACGAAGGTTTTCCTGTGGCTTTGTCCTCTGGACTTTTCCCCCACAAGAGAATGAACTTACATTTGTTAAATTCCCGCAACGATGCGGGCACTTTTGTTGTAATTCCTTAATTCTCGTGGCTACACTAAAATGAAGCACCTTTTGCTGTCATTTTGGAAAGTTATGAGAGGAAAATGGTGTGTCCTGAGCAAGCATGGTGGAACTGACATTCGCGTTTGTCTAGTGTTAAATCCTTTTGCTTGTCCTTAACCCAAACTGTTTACCCGCCTCTGTAAATTACCCTGAAGGCCTCCGGCTATAGAGTTGCAAAATGAGATGGAGTTGAAGAAAGTGCCTGCAGTTTGAACAAACATTGAATGTAGATTGGAAAAAAAAACAAAACCTAAGTGACCTAAACAAACATAAAAAACAAGATCAACTGCAGGAAAACAAAGAGTGATATCCAAAAGGAGAGAAACAGTGACGGCAGGGGACTAGCAATCGAGTGGCAGTACTGATGGGGGTTGTTCTATATATTGATCTAACGCAACTTGCAATATGATTGTTTGGGAACAATGAGGAGGATGCTTGTGGGGGTGTGTGTGTGCTTGTGTGGCCTTGGGGAGGGTCCTCTTCCATAGTTCAAAAGTCAATAGACAGCACTTAAAAAGGAAAAGCAAGACGTGTCACTAAATGAACACTACCTAAAAATGTGGTAACCACCGCAGTAGAAAACTATAGTCACGTGACCCCTGTGACAGGGCTACATTCTAAGAAATGTATTGGTAGGTGATGTCATCATTTGCCAACATCACATACTTACATGCTGCTTGGTGGACACCTAAGCAGCATGGCTCGGTCTACTTCTCCTGGGCTACAGCATTATGTAACATTTTGCATATGATTGAAGACAATTGCAGTACAGTAGTCATATAAGCTATAATGAAATACAGTGTGAAAGACAATGTCTACAGCTGCTCAGGGCACTGACTGTGTATGGAGACTGTCGTGACTAGAAGCTGTCCTGGGTGAGTCAGTGAGTGACTGGGGAGTGACTGCAGAAGCCCAGGATATCGCTGCATGTTGCTGGACACTAGATTTAAATAAAAACATTTTTCCCTCTTCAATATAAGTTAGCTTCGGCTTGTCATGTTATTTTTACTTTGTAAACTTTTTATATTTAACTTTTGGACCCTTTTTTTGACAGCTTTAAACTCAAATACATTCTGAAACTGTACCAAAATATTCTTTGTACCCTTGTTGCATAAGCTTTTTTTTTTCTGGTTTTAGTTTTTGTATACTGTAGACTCTCTCTTAAAAACGACCACACAGGACTATAGAGATGGGTTGGCCATTAAAAGTTAGGTTCACAACCAAAAACTAACAGAATCTCACACATCAGCCTCTACTGGACGGGCTCATTAATGTCACTGACTTCTACCTGACTTACAAAATATCATGTACCATACATGTCTGCGATGCCCCCAGAAGCCAGAAAGGGGAGCTGGGTCTCTCGGAACTGTAAAGACAGGTGTTTGTGAGCTGTCATGGGAGTGCTGGGAACTGAACCCAGGTCCTCTGCAAGAGCAGCCAGTGATCTCTAGTCCCCAGTTAACTGTTTAGAAAAACAAGCTCTAGTATACTCTAAAATATTGATTAGAAGTAGAGGTACTAAGAACGCAAACAACACACAAAGTTGGTTTGCTAGTACTAGCATCACCACAAACACATGAACAATGTGTTTTGTACAGCCTTTATGACTGTTACCATGTCACTAGCTTTGAGAATTGTTTTTCTTCTTTATAATGATATGGGACCACAAGTACATGTGACCAAGCTATTATCGTGCATCACAGAACTATACAAAGAGGAAAAGCGGCTTCCTCTAGGAATAAGGGTACAGATGAGGAATGCAGGCTCTGGAGTCGTGCCCGAGGCTTGTGGGATGTTGCCTGGGAACGATGACCCAGAAGCCAGCTGACTCATCCCAGCTGACAAGGGAACTGCTCAGAATCCTGGAGGTTTCTGTTCTGCGGGCATCATGGGAATCCACAGGCCCCTCTTGGTTGCTGTTCAGAGTGGTGTGCCTTCACAGAGTGTGCCCATGATGGCTGGCGCCGTTGCCTATGCCCAAGCAGGCCTGAGGGTTTCTAGGAGAGATGGCACCTGTGGCCTGACAGTAGAGCCACAAAGAAATGATATCGGATAGGCGACACAGTGTCTGGCTTTGCGGGTATCTCACTCAGAGAGGGTTTCCTAAGCTGTGCCAAGGAGGGGTGCTTGAGAGCTATGGCAGGAGCCTGAGGCACAGGTGCTCGCTATTCCATGTAGCTCACTCCAGGGAGCCCACTCACAGTCAAGGGAGTCTGTGGAAACCAGGAGGGAATGCTGCGCGGTAGCTCACTTGTTCGTGCTTAGATAGCTTTCTTTCATAGTCCAGGACTGCCTACCTAGGGATGGGAGTAGCTACAGTGAGTTAGGACCTCCTTAACAGTTAGTAAGGACCTGACTGTCCCCACACACTTGCCCACAGGCCAATCTGACCTAGGCATTCTTCATGCGAGGCTTTCGTCTCGAGTGACTCTAGACTGTGTCAAGCTGACAAAGCTAAGTGTGTCACAGGATACAGGCCAGAGTTCAGGCAAGTGTAGACACTTCACAGTCATGATCCCAAAGGAAGGAAGGAAGCCCACGGGTCTCCTTCACCTGGCTGTGTCCTTACACCCAGGCCAGGCCCTGGCACTGCTGCTGATAGCCAATTCTGCCCCATGACAGAAGTGCCCGAGCTTATGTCCTCCGTTGCTGCCCAGACGTCTACCTCATACAGAGAATATACTGTTTCCTAAATGTGCCTTCAGAACTAATATGAAATTACAGAGTGTCCAGATAAGCAAGGAACTCAGGACAAGACCAGGGAGTTCAATTAGAGAAGATAAAAGCTCTCAATCTGAGGGTCTCTGAATGACAGCAACCACAAAGTATGTTGTAAATAGATTTGTAAACTGTTGTTTAGGGGTTTTGCTTATTTCTATTTTTTTTTCTTCTGAGATACAACTTCCATACATGGCTCCCCTTTCTCTGTACTTTCGGTTATCTGTGATCAACCATGGTCCAAATAAAAATTTTAAAGGTCTACAAGTTGCAGGGCACAGTGGTACACACCTTTAGTCCCAGCACTTGGTAGGCAGAAGTTTGCGGATCTCTGGGAGTTCTAGGCCAGCCTGGTCTACAAAGAGTTCCAGGACAGCTACGACTACAAAGAGAAACCCTGTCTCGAAAAGACAAAACAAATAAAAAGTCCAGAAGTAAAGAATTGACGCATTTTAACTTGTGCACTGCTTTCTGGTTTCAGCTGTAACTTCTGTTTTCCACTGTGGCATGGTACAATCTCACAGCTTCTGACTGTGTCCCACCTGGGACATGAGTCATCCCTCTGGGGTGTCCGACTGTGTGTACTCTCTCTCCATTAGTCACTCAGAAGACATCTTGGTTATCAGATTGGTAGCCATGGTAACACAATTCTTGTATTTAAGCAGTCCTTACTTTGTTTAATAATGACTCCAAGACCCAGGAGTACTGATGCTAAACACATCAGCATGTCAGGGAAGAAAAGCTATGTGAGAAGCTAGAAGTTACTAACTTTGTCACAGAAGTCTGTACACGTAAGAGAAAACAGGGCTTCTATAGGATTAGTGTTTTGAAGTATCCTCTGGGGGATCTTAGACCCATTCCCTGAGGATATAGAGACACTGATACGGAGGAAACTGTCTCAAACGTCTCTCCAATGTCTGCCGTCCAGATCAACACTCGGTGCATTTTCCTTAACTCCAGGAAGTAACTTCCTGTGTCTTCCCAGGGTGACTTTTTTTTTAAATTTTTATCACCATGAAGAGATCTTCTTTAGTCACTTTAAATTTTGTGTGGACGGATCATGAGTAGGACTCCTTCCCCTGTGGACACGTGTCTCGCCACACCTACCCCGTCTGTCTTCTCCCTTTGACAGAAGGTGAGAAAAGCTTGGAGGTGTGCTGGGTGTATCTGGGCTTTCTGTTTACATGAACATCTCTAATTTCACTCCTGTCACCAATGGCAATAAGCAGAGAGCAAACAGAGCTAAATGACCAAGGTCAGAGAGCTCATAACATCTTGAGCTTAAATCCAGGACTTTGAAGGTCAAGCAGGTTCCTCCCAAATTCAGCTGTGTCTGTGACTGGTGGAGGAGGGATAGTCTCTCAGCTGTGTCTGTTACTGGTGGGGTAAGCGCTCTCTTGGCTGTGTCTGACTGGTGGGGGTAAATGGTCTCTCAGTAACTGTCGATTTGGACCCACTAAGCACCTGCTCCCTCCCATAGGAACTCAGGATGCCATCACTAGTGCAGAAACCAAAAGACTAGGTGAGGTCTCGCCATCCACTCTGGCCTGGCCCTCTCAGGTAGGCTTTTCTGGAAGGCAGGACCACAGAGCCACGGGTTAGTAAGAATCAGGGTTAGGATTGGCCACTGCCCCAAGAGGGGATGTGGGGTAGATCCTAGCAGTGTTGGCCATGGGTACGAAGTGTATGCCCTGTGCAGACAGACCTGGTGTCATCTACTTGGTGACATGGAAGAAACCCAAATTAGACTGCTGTTTCATACTGACTTCCATACTTGGGGAATGAATGGGTATAGACTTCTTAGATGTTCGTCTCCTACCTGCATTTGGGGTTGGATACATATTTGAGAGTTCCAGGACTTTCTATGCTTACAGTTCTGGTAAGACCCACTGTTGGTGCTTGAAGGACTTACATGACAGGAGAGCTGGCATGTCTCAGGAAGTGACTTCCATGTCCTGGGAATAGGCTCTCCCTGTCCATGCCTGCTAGGCCCCACGTCAGCTCTGAGGACTTCTGGATAACAAGATTCCAGAGTCCAGGCCACCTTTCCCACCATCGCTTTAAAGGAATCGTGGTGCTTCCCATGGGCCAGGCACCAAGGATGACGGGGTCGAAGGAGCCACTCTCAGTGCAGATCTGCCTAGAGCCCTCAGCCTTGGCCTCCGCCAACCAGGTTCCTCTGCATCTGGATGCTGTTCTGGGCACCACCCGCAGGGATGGGAGCAACTAACCAACTGGCCTTAATCAATGCAGAGTCTCTAAGGACCAGAGTATCTACAGCATAGTCTAAGGACGTCTACTCCATTCCCTACCCTTACACATGGCTTTTGGACTGCTGCCGCCCAAGGCCTGTGTACCAAGAGGGAGACAGGCACTGGAAACTCAAGCCCCTCCCTCCTCTTGCTCTCTTTCCAAGATAAATCAGACAATCTGACAGGCAAATAGGTTTCTCTCCCGCACAGAAAATACCAATGTCTGTAATATTATTAGACACTCAGGACATAAGTACTGCCCGATGAGGGCCAGAACAACACCAGCTGGCCTTGAAGCCCCAGACAACCTGAGTATTGCATTGGTCATGATCTTGTTTGAAGAGGACAGTAAGTGATTTGCAAGATAGGCCTGAACTGGCTCAGGCCCGGTCCGGGATGCTGCTGCCTTGACTCCCTGACCCAGGCAGCTTGGGACCATGCTCTACATCTGCTGAAGTCATCAACAACCTCGGTGATTGCTTAACCAAGAGTAGAGCCTGTATTGATCTAAGCTAATGGCTTGTAGGCAGGCAGAAACTAAAATTTATAATTGATATTGAATCACATTGATGCACCAGCTGTAGGCTTTTGGTGAATGGGTGGATGGGAATGAAGCAATCAGCTCTGTTGGCCCCGGTGCCGGGAGTTCCCAGACAAGATTCAGAAGGGTTCAGAAGAGGGGAAGGCAGCTTCAAGAGGCTGGGCCGGCAGAGCGGAGGATCAGTGCCAAGTCCACCACTGCTCTCTGTGTGCGTGTGAGCAGTTTGTTCCTTCCATGCTTGACAGTCTAGGAAGTGACTAGGATTAGCTTCTTTTTATGAATGGGAGTCTGGGGCTAGGATTAGCTTCTTTTTATGAATGGGAGTCAGGGGCTCCTCCGTTGAGCTACCGAGCTAGAAAATACTAGAAAACTGTAGCTCCACGTTTCTAAGCTCCTGTTTGTCGAGTCTCCAATTACACAGGCATCATCACCAACCTCACTGGCCCTTCCTTAACTTCTGTATAGTGTGGATAGAGGCTGTGGGTAGGATTCCAACTGGGCATCCTGATGGGTGCTCAGGAATGGTTTCTCCAAGAGCAAGGATAAGAGCCTAGGAGCCAGGCAGATGTTCTGAGTTATGGCCCCTCTTCCTACCTCCTCTGTCTCCCTCCCCCATGTCTACTCATTCTCCCTCTGGGCAATTCCCTTCACTCCCCACCCTCCCCTGCACAACCGGTATACAACCTCAGTCTGCTGCCGCCTCAGCTGGGGCCTTCCTGCCTCCTCCAGCTGCCTTTCCCGCCCGGCCTGACCCCGGGCTTCGCCTGTTTCTTGCTCCTTTCCCTGTGGGTGCCAAGATAACGGCAGTGTTTGTGCCCTGTCCAGCTCTGCCCAGCAGTCACCTTCCCCCAGAGTCCCCAGTGCTGAGCACAGAGAAGGCCCCTGCATTCAAATACTGGATACATGAAAATGAGACCGTATGCAGCAGAACTTTGGGGTGCACCTGTGTGGGAGTAAACAGGAAGAAGTTCGGGTATCCCCTGGCCTCGCTACCACATAGCCTAGCCCGCCCCCAGAAAAGCAGGCCAGCTGAGCCAAGTAGGCTGACTTTTAAGAATGTAATCTTTTGTTCTATTGACCCTTTAAATCTTCAAAACAATCTTTATGAAAAGTTGCCAGAATTTCCCAGGCTACCTCATTACTATTTTAAAAGTTATGATTTTCCATTGATGGGATTAGAAAATAGGTTTTCCCATTGTTCCCTTGGAAGTTCTCCAGGCAGGGAAGAGCGTCCCTTTATGAGGGCCCAGCTAGGTGTCTACACCTTGGGAAGGTGAAGGATCCAGGTAAAGACAGATGTCCAAACAGAGCCTAGACAAAACACTAACAGTCCAAAAAAAAAAAGAAAGAAAAAAAAAGTAGAGGCACTCAGAGCCTCTGTGCGATAAATCCTCTGCCGCAGCTCACTCCTGAGACAGCCCAGGACCCTAGTAGAGCCCCTCAACCTTGGCTACAAATTGCATTAAGTTTATAAAACATCCCATTGGCCCCTCCCTGGTGCCCTTCCATTACCTCACCCCTCTCCCCCCAATCAATCTTTCGACCTCAATACTTACCCTTTAAATCAATTCAGCTCTGAGATTCATCTTGCCATTTCCCCAGCCCGCTTTAAAATCCCATCGACTCCATAAATCACTTGTGTTCCTGCTCTCCTCCTGCTCCGTACTCTGGTGCTGCACTCACGCAGGGCCGCACTTACACAGCTGCAGACACACACCCCCGCAGGCCTGCTGCAGGGTGCTCAGCCCCAGCACATGTGGTCCAGAGCACTGACAGGTCAGTCGCTGCTGCAGCTGGGCTGCCTCGAGGCCTTTCCAAAGCTCCTGAAAGTCACTGAAGGCGTCCAATGAGGGTCTCGAAAGTAGACCCGAATGAAGGACTCACACGCAGGTTTCGTTAAACAGGTTCCCTGGCTGGTGGAGAGCTGAGGAGGGTCGTGAACGGGACAGATTCTAGAGGAGGAATGGGACCCAAGCCATAAAAGGAGGTCTTTGCCTAAGCCCCAGGGAACTCAGCTTTGAGCAGGGTTACCTGCTGAGGATGACATATATTCCCAGGCACTCCTAATCCTCCCATTCGGGGTAAAGCAGACTCTAGCAGCCAAAGGACAGTCTGGAACAATCTGACTGCCGTGAGAATCCCCCTGGGAGTGGACTGTGTCTAATTTGAAGCCCACTGGGAGAGAGGAAGCATGAAGATCCGAAGAGGGATCCAAGAGAATTTGGGCAGAGCTGCTGCCCAACCCAATTTGAAAGGCATCTTAGAACATTCTCAGAAGAATTCCTTAGCATCAGTCACCCTAGGTAAGTGATTGCTGACCCACACTACGGGCTGGAGGAAACCCAGGCACACCAAGGACTCACCTATGGGGGGATTCATACAACTGGCAGCCCCTAACTGTGGTCCTTGGAAGGTCTGTAAGCAGGCTAAGCCCAGGCTCCCTCCAGCCCGTCTGCTGGCTATGTCCTGTCCTGACATATGTGATATTAGCCTGTCACCTGCCTAGTGCCTCCCACAGACGGAGACTGGGTCTTTGTTATTCCAAGTTGTGGTTACAACCATGTATGGTGCTTGTCACGGGAAAAATTCAAACATCTACCCTATGAGTGATCTATTCAGGGTTGTTTTAGACATCCCAAGGGATCCAGCTGCCTTACAGGCAGCTTTCACTTACAATGCTTCGGTATAATTTACATAAATAGTTTGAATCCATACAGTATCACAGCTCCGTTCCTCCCTTCACACGCATGACCCGTTGTGTGGAATATGTCCCTCACAGACGTTGTTCTATACGAAACCTATAGCCACCAAAACCACATTGTGAAATCTTCTGTTTGGAGATGGTGATTTTCTTCCCTTTTGTGGAGTTTATGTTTCCTGTAATGTTCCAAATCTTGCTTTCCTTGAGTCCTATAACAGCATTTAAACATAAGTGTGTTTCCGTATTTGTGGGTCCTGTATCCTCAGATACAGCTGACTGCAGACTGAGAAAAATAACTATCTGTTTTGAATAGGTACAAACCTTGTCTTAGCAATGTTTCCTAAGTGATGTGTTATGGTGACTACTGATACAGCATCTGCCTTGTACCGGGTTCTATAAGTTGTCTAGGAAAGCATGGAAGTGTCTAGGAGAATTGTGGAAGTTACAGGCAAACACTGTTATTTTATATGAGGGGGTTGAGCCTCTGAGGGGTTTGAAATACGGGGGGTGGGGTCTCAGAATCAGTCCCAGGTGTGACAATTAGGGTTACTGTGAAACTGAAAGGGCAGATGAGAGACGCAGGAGTTTGCATGTTATTCTTGACCTCACAAGAAAGGCATTGGGAGGCATGAAGAGCGAGGGAGCCCAGACACTGGAGAAACCCTAATGGTGTCGGGAGGGCACAGGGCTGAGCACAGCCTTATCCGGGGCCTGGGCTCTGAGAAGGGCTATAAAGTCATAGGCCTGGGTCCCTAGGACCCTCGTGAGCCAGTGACGGTGGGTCCCTGCGGGTTTCCATTGAACATCTTGTTTTGAAAACTCCCTGGCTGCCCGCTGCAAGAGATGACTGCAGAGTAGGGAGATGTGGGGAGGCAGGAGAGGATGGACAGCAGAGACTGAGGGGAGGGGGGTGGGCCCGAGAATGGGGCTCCTACTGACCGAGATGGGGAGGCCATGAGAGAAACGGGCCAGGACAGGAAGACACAATTTAACTCCCAGTTTGTACCGCTGGAACTGTCAGGGCAGCACGGCACTGGACCTCAAGTTGAGAGTCGAACTGCACATGGATGGCATTTAAATCCATGAGGCAGTGCAGACAGCAATGGATCTAAGGAGTAGCCCTAGAGACTCAGGTTGAGCCATCTGAACAAGCCATCCAGTGAGGAAAAAGCTGCTATTGGGACCCTAGTGTAGAAAATGTCGTCTGAGAGGACAGGTCCAACATGACACCTGTCACCATCCGGCTGGCAGTCACAGGCACCTCTGATCACCAACCTCACCCACCCACCCCAGCCCTAACCACACATTGTCACTCTTCTTTCTCCCAACTCAGACAGACAGGAAGCCATGCCTTCCCTGTCTACCTCCCGGGGAAGCTGGGCCAGAGCTACTGTGACTAGGGCACCCCATGCTCCCTCATCTGACCAAGTGGCAGCATGTGGCGTTCCCAGCCCAGTCTGTGGCGGTTACCCTGGCTCAGGGCCGCTGCAGCAGTATGGGGGGGGGGGGTGCAGTGAGGCTTCAGTATAGAGGACCATGGGGACATAGGTGGTTCTGGAACCTCCAAGTGGAAGGACTGGTCACTTCTGTAAGACATCTGCCCCTGCCCGTTGATACCTCTTTGCCCTCTGCTGCAATCTGGGATAGCAAACCACCCACAAGCTCAACCTGAGCTCAGACTCCCACGCCGGCACCTGTGGGACCGCCCTCTCTGATCCCTTCTTCCACCCAGCCTCAGCCATGCCCTCAGCTGTAGACATGTAGGTCCTTCCCCTTCCTCCTGTCCTTACAAGGAGTATTTCAGAAAGAGGTCACCATGTTCTTTTAAAACACACGTGTATATGTGTGTACATACTTGTGCACGTGTGTATATGCGTGTCTGCATAAGGTGTTGTCACGTATAGGTCCTAAACCCCTTAGCCCCTCCATCTTCCTGCTCAGCCCTGTCCCGTCCCCTCCCCCAGGGAGGTGCATGTTTCTCTCTATGGGGCCATTCTTGTCTCATCATCCAACAAGAAACCACATGCTTCGGCCTTCCCTCATGGCCGCTAGGGTGTGGGCCGTCTCTCCTACACACTGTGCCTCCCCTGTAAGAGTCTCAGATTCCCCTCACAGTCCCGTTTTTTGTTCCTGCTCAGACTTCCTGGAGGAGGTCATAGAGGTCCACAGCAGCGTCTTGAAGAGTTAGTACACTGGCCCCGAAGCCAGCAAATACGGATTCCAGAGCAGAGTGCATTACCTGCCTGTACTGTGACTTCAGGCAACTGTCTCAACCTCCACAGACCTCAGCTTACACATACGTAAGGTGGAAGTAGTGAGAAGACTTGTGTAAAAAATAAATAATTCATGTAGAAAATCAAGACCCGCCGGGCAGCGGGTGGCGCACGCCTTTAATCCCGGCACTCGGGAGGCAGAGACAGGCGGATCTCTGTGAGTCGAGACCAGCCTGGTCTACAAGAGCTAATTCCAGGACAGCCTCCAAAGCCACAGAGAAACCCCGTCTCGGGGAAAAAAGAAAAGAAAAGAAAAGAAAAGAAAATCAAGACCCATGCATAGCATGTAATGGCTAAACCCATGTGAACGGCAACTGTTGTAAATACTATAGCAATTATTATTGAGTGCCTCCTGTATAATCTATAATCTATTATGTCACAGTCTTTCTTCAATCCCTTGTCTGTCTCTGTCTCTCTCTGTCTCTGTGCCTCTGTGTGTGTGTCTCTGCCTCTCTCTCTCTCTCTCTCTCTCTCTCTCTCTCACACACACACACACACACACACACACACACACACACACAAGAGATGCATAGTGCTGGATCACTCCTAGCTGTTTCTGGTCCCCCCTCTTCCAGGCAGGTACTGCTCAGGCCCCATCATCCTTGGACTGAGAAGCAGCCCCCTGCCAGTTCCAGGTGCAGAGGGGAACACAACATCCATGTGCCCCCAGGGAGCAGCAGCTAGCTGTGCAGACAGCAGTGTCACATGGGAGACTGTTACTCATCGATGTCAAAGGTGAAGTGACAAAGGTGACTTTGTGGAGGGGATCTGGAGGGCCACGTGGAGGAGCCATACTGGGAGTGGAGGATCAGACAGCCCAGGGCAGTAATCATATTGCAGTCATCTCCGCAGCCTGGAAATCCGGATTCTAAACCGTTGGCCAGAAGTTTAGTTTGAGCAGATGTGGAGATGGGCGCCTCAGCACTCTGGGTGCATGCATCATGAGACAGCTCGGCAGTTGTTAACTGAGCAGCTGGTGGTGGTGGTGGATATGTGATCATGTTGGATACACTATGACCCATGATCTAGGGCAGGTGTAGGGTTTGCTCTGTGAGCCACGAGATCATAACTGCATTTGGAGAGAGGTCAAGAATGTTAGGCCTGAGTCTAGGGACCTCAATACTGCCATGAAGGGGTTGGTGCTCAGGCGTGAGGCCAGGCAAACTAAGAATCCTAGGCTGTGGTGCTTGCCAGCCTCAAACCACTGTTGCAGCCTCTGAAGACCTCAGTTTGCACATCTGCAGACAGCGAAAGCAGAGTGTTGCCTTGGCCACTGCATAGGCCTGTAGGTTATTGCCCAGGCAAAGATGATTGTGTCTGAGTTGATTCAGGAAAGGGGACAGCAAGGTAAGGGAAGAGCTCAGGGAACAACTGAGTTTAGAAAGTAGCTCCTCATGGAGTTGGGGAGGGCCAGCACCTCAGTGTGTGACGTTGGCCAGCAGTGGAGTCCTGGAAGAGGGAGGAGGCTTGACAGTCTTGGAAGCATTTCACACTGAGTTTCTCACTCAGGCCAGGAAGACCCAAGACCTGTGGAGTATCAGTAGACAGCTTGACATGCAAGCCTCCCGTTCACAAATAAAGGACTCACAATAGGAGAGGGGAAGCTGGGGCAGCCTTGAAACAGTGAGAAAACATTGTGAGAGCTTCTGGGGAGGACAGAGGAAGACTTGGGTACAGAATTTAGCAGGACGGCACTTCAGAGTGGAGGGAAAAAATATGGAATGGGTGGGGTGATAATGTCTGAGTCACCAAGGTGACAAAGGCTGAAACCACAGTTTTGGGGGTTTGGTTAGAGCAATGCTTGGAAGGGCCAAAGTCTTCAAATGCAGAGCGTGGTGACCATGAGAAGCAGTTGCATGGACTGTCCCGGGAGAGGCAGTGAGAGCAGACGCCTTCCACACGTGCCGAGGTGAGGGTAGCAGAACAGAGACCATGTTTGTGCTGACTTCCTTAAAGTCAAGAGCCTGTCCCGACCGGAGGTGATTCACATTCTAGTCACCCTTCCCAGCCTGGCCCACTGGCTCTGTGGAGATTTCCCTTCCTCTCAGAGGCTCTGCAGCCCAATGGTCTACACCTTCGTAGGAACTCCACTGGGAAACATCAGCTCAGAATTCGGCATGTACTTTTCCGGGCTCTGCTTGCTTATGAGGGAGGGAAGACAAAAGGAGAAGGGGAAAGAGAGAGGCGCGGTGTCCTGTGGTGAGGAGAGTGCCCTAACTTTAGGTTACCATCCTCCCCGGGCCTCGCGTACTTCAGGGTTGCTTCCCAAGTCCAGTCCGTTCTCAAGCCTGAGCTTGTCCATGCTGCCTGATTCAGAGCCTGGCTTAAC